TCTCTGGAACTAGTGAATTGAATGGTTTGATTCTCTCAAATATTATATTTGCTCCAATGGCAAGACTGCAAGAGGTCTAATCGAATGGCATTCTGTGGCAGAGATTTTGGTGCGGGAATGAAGTGGGGATCGGGTGGCGGGGTGGGAGTCACCCAATCCCTGGGTGGATTGAAGCCACTAGGGGATTGCATCTCCACCAACCAAACAAAGCCTTAAAGTTTCACGACTAGTGTCACTTCATGCTCCCCACGGTCAGAGAGGAAGTCCCTAAGGTCACGAGGCTATCCTGTTAAAGCTAAAAAAATTATACGTGATTTCCTGCACGTATTTTTTGAAGTAAGAAATTCTTGATTTGCTTAAATTTGTACATTTGTTGTTCTAACTGTTCCATGCTTCGACGACAGGAAATATTGCTATTTCATTTCCATGGCCATTACTCCATTAGCCCGTTTAGTCCTGGAACAATAGTTTCTACAGATAATTTTTCTTCTACGTATAAAATTTATGTCATTGTTTCATTCTAGAGCAGGAACTTGCCTTTTCAACTAATTTGGTACCTCTACTCCTTTAGTACCGATGACCCGAGGTGGCTCACTGAATGGCCCCAAGGTCAAAACAAGCTTTGAATGCCTGGATCCAAACCAGCTGCAATTTTTTTGTATTGGGAGTATTTGATAGGTTAAGGTGGTGCACTGGTGCTACTTCCAGTGCCGTTTTTAATTTTTGTTGGTGCCCTTGCTAATTGTCTTAATGCTTCAGACACAATATAAAAATATGCATGACATGCAGGCAATTCCCTCTGCCTTTTACCTTCAGCTATACGTTTTTTAACAAACCTTCAGCTATACATGAGCATAGTTCTTTTGCTGCTCAAGTACGAGGTGACTCATATGTCGCACTCATCTTCATCATCATTTCTTCAAAGCACCTCCTTTTGTTTTCTTGCAATTGTAACATTCCTCGGGTTTCTCAATTTAGAAGTGACATCTTCTCTTCTATACTCTAGAGGCACCATGTTATTGATTTGTCTTAGATCTCACTGTGCTATAAATTTAGATTTTATATAGCTTGCTTAGTGCCCCCATTCATTAGCTCATTTTAATAATTTTTGTAGAGACGTACTGTTGACACCAGATTTTGGCACGGTCAATAACTTATTTAAGATGGCCTCAAATGGAGAAATGATCTTCATGAAAGAGTTCCGTATTATCGATATGAACATCTTTGAAGTTTGGGTCATCACAGTCCGATTTCATCTCGAAGGCCGAAACTATACTCAAAGTACTAAGATCTCATATTCAGAGTACAGTTTGGCTGATTAAGCCCCCAAGACGACCTCAAATGGAAAAATTATCTACACGGATTGTCTTCGTCTCGTCGAAACGATCGATTTTGATATAAAACTCGTTCCAATCCAAGTTATGCAAAAATTAGAGCTATCGGAATACAGCCCTGTCAGGAGGCAAAAACTGGCGCGCCCCACCAGACACCATGTCTGATGGGTAGCGCGAGGGATAGCCTGTTTTGCGCGACCGATTTGACCCTCAAGATGCCTTCTGATCAAAAAACGTTCAACATAAAAGTTGTTCGTCTCGTCGAAACGGTCAAGATTTCTTTTGGGCTCGTTTCCATCCGAGATTGTTTATCACCACAAAAAGGACCCGCAAGATACAGCCAGTTTAAACCGAACAGTTTTGGAAAGTTCGGACAAAACCAATCCGAATTTGACTAGGGTTTTGGACGTGAATCCAAGCCTTTTCCTTGCACGGGAAGTCCAGCCGCCTCTTATATACCTAAGGGGTGACGGCCGATTGAACAACACACAATCGATCAATCAATTTACCACTTTTTATCTTTTATCTTTTCTCCTTAACCCTAGTTCTTCTTCTTCCTCGTTCTTCGTTCGTTCTTCTTCATTGCAGGGCGGCGAACCTCGAGGCCCTAGGGGCGATCAAGTCGACCTAGGGCAGTCCATAGCCGCCGCGCGCCCAGACGGGGTCCCTCCTGGGCGTGTGGGGTTTCGGGTCCTCAAAAGCACCCGCCGGATTGCCTGCGTACCGCGCTTCCGGCCGGGTCTCCTTCGACGTGAGCTGCGGTGCATCACCCTCGGTGTTGGAGGTACACGGTGACGTGTTCGTGTGCGAACACACTTTTTGGCGACTCCGCTGGGGACGAAGCTTTGAACGGTCTCCGGCTCGTTCTTGCTACGAAGAGATCGTCATCTAGGGTTTGCAGTCTACAAAGGTAATATGAATATCCAATCCCTTTATGTAGATGCAAATAATTCATATGGTGTTACTAGATCATTCAATGAGTATACTCTGTCGGTCAACCCTAGTTTGTTCAATCATGCAACTAATTACGTGCAAGGGCCGATTCAAAGTAATTTGCATGCTTTAAGTTCTTATGATACTAGTAACCTACACCATATGTATCCCAACTCTCATGCATCGGCAACCCCACAAATTGTTATGCCGATGAACAACATGGTGAGTTCAGTTAATAAATTTGAAACACCTCATGTTAGAATTTCCAATGCCATGCAAGAAAGTGTTTCACCCTTTTATTCATCGGCAAGTAATGTGCAATATACTAATCCAACCATGCCGATGAACGAGAGAATTGGCCATGCTGCTACTAGTTATTCGGCCAGTTACTCTCAAACGTCATATGCTACACCTCATGTTAGTAATTCTTCGGCACCATACACAACTGTAGATGCTCATAATTCGGCTTCACACCTTCCTGGTTATAGCCGAATGAATGTAAATTTTACAGGAGCGGTTGTGCCCAATATTGTAGAAGATGAGGTAGTGGTGGCTGCATTGAAGAGTTTAGCCCAAAATAAGAGAATTAGTGCTCTTTGCCTTGAACAACATGAAAAGGGGCTATTTCCTGATTATGCCGCAATAAAAGCTAGAGTTTTGCAAGAAGATGAATTTTTGCCAATTGATAAAATTGGCGAGCAAAAGTATGGTCTTACAACAATGCATATGCCTTCACCTAGTACTACATCATATTATACACCCCCTACACAATTGGAAAATTTTGGCAACACCCATGTGTCATTGCCGAAAGAATCTAAAAGCATTGGGGGGCAATCATATCCGAAGTGGGCTGAAATTGAGAAAAAGCTTAAAGCTAATTTTGCCGCTCGCCGTCAGAAACAAATAGAAAAAGAATTGGCTCAGATAAAAGAAGCATTGCCAATTGGTAGTATCAATGAAAAGAAGGATAATTCGGAACATGAAAGTGCTTCGGTTGAAAAAGCTGAATCAAGTAGTATATGTTCTGAATCCATCAAATCCAATGAGGCAAGCATTATCGAGAAAGGGCATGGCAAGCATAGGAAAACAACGGTGCTTGATTTTTCTGAAGTCAATGGAACCTACTTCCTGCCCTATGAGTTCCATGCCGTAGAAATTGACAAGCTTCAAAGACAAGAACAAGTAGCCGAACAAAGTTCGGCCGACAAAAATCTCTAAAGCAATGATGCACGGATTCAAGAAAAAGATGATGACAAGGTGTTGGGAAGCCATCCAAAGACGGAGCAAGATGTTCTTCAAATGGCACCACCATCATGCTCTCCCAACATATTTGAAGAGGTATGCATAGCGAGTAATTTACCTATTTTCAGATTTGGTCACAACTTCATTATTGATGCATCTATAAGAAATATTCTCATAAGTAATTTTGAAAGACCAATGAGGAAGGGTAATTTACTTGTTAACACTAAAATTGTTATGGAACATATCGGTCAACCCATTGCACCATTTTTAAAGATCGATAATGACTTATTGTTACAACCAAAGCTTTCCCCATTGCTTTGTCTAAAGTTCATATCTAGTTGGGTAGCTTTGCTTATTTCGTACTTGGCTTACGCATGGTCTCAATTGAGACGTGTATGTTCTAACTACTTTGATTTCAGAAATTTAAAGCCAAGGTTAAAATCTTTTGGGAAAACCGATGCTAGTATAGTTTCTTATTTAAGGACATCGGAAAAAGTATGCGAAAGAGAATTCATAGCCGAATGGGAAGATGTCAAATCTGAACCATTCATTTGCTTAATTTCAAAGCCGTTCTCACAACAAGATCGGCTAGAAAACGAAAGGTATACCTTCGATTCAAACATGTGTGATCAAATCTTTGATTTGTTGTTGAAAAATAATTACATTAGAATTCTTGATCACCATGTCAAGCCATCTGTCCAAGGACGAATGTATTGTAAGTTGCATGATTCGTCCAAGCATAATTTTGAGGACTGCCACATGTTTCGTCAAATAGTTCAATCGGCCATTGATAAAGGACGATTGAAATTTGTTGAGACACCAAGAGATGACCAATCTATTCCGATTGGTCCCAATGGCAGAAAGTTTTTGCATCGGCTGCTTCAAGCCGATCCATTTAAAGAGAAGGTAAAAACTGTAGGTGATGGGATCAAGCTTTCAAGTAAAGAAGATGTTAAAGAGCATAATGAACATAATCTTGAGGGTGAAAATTCCATCGAAGCTACAATGGAGATGCCAAGGACTGGGGGGCAGCAAGCAAATCCAATGATCAATGAAAGCAAACCGAAAGAAAACAAAGGCGGAAATAAGCGCAAGTGTAAGAGATCAAAAATCACCTTCACTGAACTATTGGATAAATATCGAAAGAAGAGTGAAGAGAAGAATGCTTATCAGCCAAATCATGCAAAGAAACCAAGATCACCCCCAAGGCGCAAATATGAGGATTGGTATTGGCAAAGTGAGAATTTTAATGCAACATATTCATATCCTTATTTTGGGCCGCCAATGCCCATGCCGTGGATGCCTCCCTATGCTCATATAGATACATATTCATCATGGGACAGGTATGATACAAGGGCACATTCTCCATCTTATTCTAGACCATCTCACCAATACTATGCAGCTCCAAGAAGATCAACACTTGAACAATCACGCGTCAAAGACCGTTTCAATCATAAGGAATCGGTCTAGAGCTCAAGGAAGAAGAAAGAGATGGTAAAGCAAGTTTACCGCGTGAAAAGAGATGGTCGTAAGTGTGCCACTTCAGATTTGATCTCAAATAACAAAGAGCCAATTAAAGTGTTGACATTGGCTACAAAAGGCAAAGAAGTAAAGCAATCAATTGATAAAAATCAGAGTGCCAAATCTGAAGAAAAGAAGTTGAGGGTGCACAAGGCCCAAAAAGAGTTGCCATTGGTTGAAACAAAATCACAGTCGAGCTGCTCACTCGGCTTATCATATTGGAAAAAGAAGGAATTACAAAATCTTAGTGCACAAGAGCTGAGAAAGAAGAACATGGCATGGGTTCCCAAGAAGATCAATCAAAACAAAAATGATGTGCATGTTTCTATTGCAACAAGTGTTACAAAAGTGAAGAAAGAGAAGGATGGAAGCCAAAAACAGTTAAGCCGAAGGTTTGCATCACCCCATCAAAATATTCGGTTAGCACATCATCCATATTTTTCAACCATACCATTGATGCCTTTGCCATGGAATTCATCATCAGGTATGATAAATTACCCTCCCTGGATTTATTTTAGTCCATGGAAGCGACATAATTTTCTGCATCATGAGAGGGTATTACCAAATCTCTATACATTGTATTAGCTACATTTTTTCTTGCTAATCCAAAGGGCCGAAATATTTGATTGCTATTTCATTAGTTTATTTCGGCTATACATGATTTGGTGAATGAATTCTACATGGGCATTATGTTGATGGCCGGTATTTATCTATCGCCCTAAGAATATGTCAAAGCATGGCTGATGTAGTATCCTAACATCGTCCTTAGTTCAAGTAGAGGCCAAAACGAGGTACATGTTCATTGATATTGCCCTTGTCTTTCTAGTACTATGGAGATTATTTTTGACGGCAAATTTGTGGCAATGGCCAAGGTGTTGGTGTTGCTTATTTATCTTCATATGGAGCTATTTTGTGAAGCCTCGGGCCGCTTATAATATTTTTGCACAATCATCAAAGCCGAATATGCATTGTCATTCGGATTGGAGCTTTGCCTTGATATAGGTGCTATACATATTGAGGCTTCCGGTGATTCGTTATTAGTAGTGCAACAAATATCCAAGGGTTATCAATGTTTTGACGGATCACTTATAGTTTATCTTTTGGTATGTCTAGATGCAAGATTTACCTTGGGTTGCTTTGAAATTGTTCATATATCTAGGCATGACAATTCGAAAGAGTTGGCACAGCAAGCGTCCGGCTACTATGTTAATCATGGTGTATTGCATTTCTATCAATAGCCGATGCTAGGTCTTGTCAACATAGGTAAGGCTGAATCGAAGCCCACCGCTTCGGCCACTAATGAAACTTTTATACAGGCGAAGTAAGGATTGAAGAAAGTTCATTCTTGATTATCTGCAAAATCCTAGCGAAAGGGTGAACAATATGGTTCGGAGGATGGTTTTGATCTATGGAACCTTATCACTGGATTGTTATAGAAGCTGAGAAGTTTTCACCCAAGTTTGCATCAAGAGGTTCAAACAAGCAATGGCTGATATATACTTGTCGTCCTAAGAACATGGAAAATGGCCGATGGAGTGTTGACATCGTCCTTAGAACAGGCTATGCGGAAGTTATTTTTCGGCACACAAACTTTGCCGAAAAACAGGGGGGCATGTGTTGACACCAGATTTTGGCACGGTCAATAACTTATTTAAGATGGCCTCAAATGGAGAAGTGATCTTCATGAAAGAGTTCCGTATTGTCGATATGAACATCTTTGAAGTTTGGGTCATCACAGTCCGATTTCATCTCGAAGGCCGAAACTATGCTCAAAGTACTAAGATCTCATATTCAGAGTACAGTTTGGCTGATTAAGCCCCCAAGACGACCTCAAATGGAAAAATTATCTACACGGATTGTCTTCGTCTCGTCGAAATGATCGATTTTGATATACAAATCGTTCCAATCCGAGTTCGTATGCAAAAGTTAGAGCCATCGGAATACAGCCCTGTCAGGAGGCAAAAACTGGCGCGCCCCACCAGACACCATGTCTGATGGGTAGTGCGAGGGATAGCCTGTTTTGCGCGACCGATTTGACCCTCAAGATGACCTCTGATCAAAAAACGTTCAACATAAAAATTGTTCGTCTCGTCGAAACGGTCAAGATTGCTTTTGGGCTCGTTTCCATCTGAGATCGTTTACCACCACAAAAAGGACCCGCAAGATGCAGCCAGTTTAAACCGAACAGTTTTGGAAAGTTCGGACAAAATCAATCCGAATTTGACTAGGGTTTTGGACGTGAATCCAAGCATTTTCCTTGCACGGGAAGTCCAGCCGCCTCTTATATACCTAAGGGGTGACGGCCGATTGAACAACACACAATCGATCAATCAATTTACCATTTTTTATCTTTTATCTTTTCTCCTTAACCCTAGTTCTTCTTCTTCCTCGTTCTTCGTTCGTTCTTCTTCATTGCAGGGCAGTGAACCTCGAGGCCCTAGGGGCGATCAGGTCGACCTAGGGTAGCCCATAGCCACCGCGCGCCCAGACGGGGTCCCTCCCGGGCGTGTGGGGTTTCGGGTCCTCAAAAGCACCCGCCGGATTGCCTGCGTACCATGCTTCCGGCCGGGTCTCCTTCGACGTGAGCTGCGGTGCATCACCCTCGGCGTTGGAGGTACACGGTGACGTGTTCATGTGCGAACACGTACTCCATATTGTCACTAGCAAGATGATGCCTAAGGACTCTATCGTCCCTTCCTGTCAAGTATCGGCCAGTACTATTCGCATTACCTTCGCCTCAGAAGTCAGAACATACCCTTTTCACTTACAATCTTTACAACTATACTACAAGTATTGCGTACAATGCAGTATTTTTATCCTATATAAAATCCCACCATGCGAACGAATTTGTTCAATTTATGTATTCTCATACGCATAGGACTAAGAGTTCCTGTAGCAACACGCAGGGTATCATCTAGTTAAAGAAGAGGAGGTTTCGCCACAAAGGTCTTGTTGTAGAAAATTAGAGAAGAAGAGGTTTCGTAACAAGAGTATTGTTGCAGAAAATTAGAGCAACTCCAATGGGGCGACTCATTTCGTCCGCCGCCATCTGTTTGGATCAGTGCGGACACAAAAGTCGGCCCAACGCGCCGACCCAAACGGACGCGCGTCTGCTTGGCGTCCGCCTGCCGACCCATTTCCGACCCAATTTTGAGCCAGATTTGCGTCGGCACGGACACGAGACGGACGTGTGCGCGCCTACTCCTCTCCCTGCGCCCACCGATCGGTGGCAGCCACCACCATTTCCCCTCATTCCCCCCCCCAAAACCCTCCCGCCTGCGCGCGCTTCCGCCCCACGCCCGCCATGGACGACGACCTCGACCTCGACGCTGCCGCCGGCCTCGCCTCCCTTGCCTCATCCGGCAAAGGCAAGCCTCGCGCCCCCTGCAAGGCCGCTGCGCCGAAGCCGAAGAAGGTGCTGACGCCTGAACAACGGGCAAAGGAGTCGGCCAAGAGGAAGGACCGGAGGCACGTGGCGGACGCCGTCGCCGCCGCCTCTCAGCAGCAGGTCACCAACGCCCGCGTCGCGGCGGTAACGAGGGAGGCGGTCTACATGATGGGGTTAAACCCTAGCCAGCATAGCCTCGTCAACGCCGTCGTGGCCGCCGCGGTCAGCACCGGATCATCCGCCTTTCCTCGGACGATGCTGCCTGACTCGCCCCGCGCGGCGGCTTGCACCCCGGTGCCCGGCTTCCACGTCTACCCGCAGGCCTCCCGCCTCTCGGGGGAGTGCTCACCCGAGGTGAGCATGGTTGCTCCTTCCACGACCGCGCCCATCGACCTCAACGCCACACCGGTGGCCACTGGCTCGTCAGCCGGAGGCGCGAGGAAACACGTGCGGCAAACGCCAGCCGACCAGCTGCCGGGCGCACGCAACCCGTTCGACGGAATGTCGGTCGCCGGCGACAGTGACTACATGCAGAACATGATCTTCGAGGGTGGTGCGCAGGCCGCTGGCTTCGATCCCGACGAGACACAAAGCCAGGATGGCCGAGGGGCGTTCACGCCATCCGCTGGCTACAATAAAGATCAGGCCGCCTTCATGCGTGATCAGGTCAGCCTGGACCTGGACGGCTTCCCTCTTGACCATGAGTTTTCGGAGGACTACGGGCTAGAGGAAGAGGACGAGTGCGACATCGAAGGGGAGCCTTTGTTCGAGGACAAGCTCGCCAACCAAGCCGTCGGGCCGAAGCCAAAGCACAAGAGCAAGCGAACCAAGGCATACACGGCGGCCGAGGACAAGCTTCTTTGCGAGTGTTGGAGAGATATTGGGCAAGTCCCCAAGACGGGCACCAAACAAAAGCATTCAACCTTTTGGATTCGTGTCCACCGTGAGTTCCATCAGCGCAAGAAGTTTCCGCCGTACCAAATAGTAAGCGCGCGCGGGTGGTGTCCATTTCGAAGCGATGGAGGGTGATCCAACAAGAGTGCAACAAGTTTTGTGCCACTCTTGAGAGCATCAAGGCCCACCCCGTGAGCGGCATCGGCATGCAAGACATGGTATGCTAGCAAGCCGCCCTCTTTTTGTGTCATCAAGTTTATACATGTGTGTTCATTTGCATATCATTTTGCCAATATGCTTGCATAAAATACATTTGTAGTCATTTCAAGCTTTGGAGGCATTCAAGGTCCAACACAATGGCAAGTGCTTCAACCTCTCCCATTGATTTAGGGTGATCAAAGACGAGGAGAAGTTCAAGGGACAATATGCCATCCTCAAGTCGCGTGGTGGGAAGCAAGCCATGGAGGAGGTTGGGGACGGCGAGAAGGCTCGGCCGCGGGGGAAGGCCACCTCCAAGAAGGAGGACAAGCAGGATGCGGCATCGATCGCCTTGATCACAACCGTGAAGGGCATGATCATCAAGAAGGACTCAAGGGAGGAGAAGCGTCGGCAAGAAAGAGAAGAGCAAATGAACGCCTTCATGGAGATCCAAAGGAGGAGGCTTGACATGGAGGCGGAAAAGCAAGCATGGATGCTTGAGATGGAGGCGGAGAAGCAAGCCAAGATGCTAGAGATCGAGGCCGCCAACGCCAAGACCAAGGCCAAAGAAGTGGCTCTCGCGAGCATGATGACCGGGGTGGAGATCATGAAGGTGGATCTCAACACCGTGTCGCCAAGGAAGAGGCCGTGGTTCGAGAAGATGCAGGCCGACATGCTCAAGTTCGACGATGAGTGATCTATATGGTGGCGAGCCTCATCTTTTTGGATGCCGACAGGTGTGCTGGCATGATCACGGGGGCCGTGATGGCATGGTCGAACTCAAGTCCCACCCTTTTTTGTGTGCTGGCATGTGTGCCGGCCGGCTGGCGAGTGCGCCAGCATGAATTGTGGTGTTATTTTTTGAAGCCGGCATTGTATGCTGGCATTGGCATGATGCCGGCATGAGACATGGGCGCTGGCATGATCGGTCGTGGGCCTTTTTTTAATGTTGATTGTGGACATGAAATGGATCGGCGCGTTGGGCGCACTGCCGATCCAAATCTAAAACATGGCGGATACCGGGCGGGCGGCCGGTCCAAACGGACAAGAAAGGACAAATTCACCGTCTGTTTGGGTCAACCTGTTGGAATTGCTCTTAGAGAAG